GCTTGAGCCCAGGAGTTGGAGGTTGCTGTGAGCGTGATGCCATGGCACTCTACCCAGGGGGCTAGCTTGAGGCTCTGTCTAAAAAAAAAAAAAAAAAAAAGGAAAATGAGGAAGAAGTCATAAAAATATTTGAGCTTAGATTATACTCTCAGAAGCTATGTGGTCTAGAGAAAAGCACCCTCAACCTAAAATGTAATGGTTCTTATTCTATATGTCTAGAATAGACATACTTCACTCTACCCATAATGAAGTTAAGGGTAGAGTGCCATGGCACCATCATAGCTCATAGCAACCTGCAACTCTTGGGCTCAGGCGGTCCTCTTGCCTCAGTTTTTTGTATTTTTAGTAAGGACAGGGTCTGGCTCTGGCTCTGGCTCTGGCTGGTCCTGAAACCATGAGCTCAAGCAATCCACCTGCCTCAGCCTCCCAGAGTGCTAGGATTATTGGCATGAGCCACCGCACCCAATTCCAGCATTCTTTTTAAATAAAAGAACACTGAGCAGAATATTTCACAATGATGGTAAGAGTAGATATGGTTTTAATTATATGTATGTATGTATAAATGTCTGTGTGCTTGGTCATTAAATAAAATGCATTTTCCCCTGTGAGTTGTAGTTGCTATTCTCAGAGTATCATTTTAGTATTAACACCTTTCTACACATTTAGATTCATAGGAGACTTGGTGTTTCTTCTCACTTCATGCTACTACTTGTGACAAAGGAATTAACGGTTAACATGAATTTGACTTTTGGTTTACCTGAAATATTTTTTATTTCGTAGCACAGAGAAAGCCTATGGGCCTTATGGATATTTAATAACTCTGATACTATCTAATCTGACGCCTGGACTCTTACAGCATTTAAATAGTTGGTTTAACCTCTACTCTTAGAAAGATTGTGTCAAATCTTTTGCTTTTAAAATTATTTACTTTTATCTTCCTGGTCCAATGTCAAACAAAAAACTCCCACTTAGTTTAGCATTGTCTGAGGACTAAGTAGAGAAAGGCTATAGAGAATATAGTTAGCATGACTGGGAGTTTGATGATCTCTAGAAAAGAAAAAATGCCATTTTTCTTTCTTTGAGTAACTAAATTTATCTTTAGGTTAATGGTTTAAGATGAATGAGTCACTGGCACTAACTTGTTCAGCTGTTTCTCCTAAGAAGAGATAGACACTTCTTTGGTGATGGCAGTGGTTAAGTTAGCACAGATGAATTTTATAGACTCCATGAACAATAGGGAATGGTTTCTTCCTCCAAGGGTTGTACATTTCAATTCATCGATGAAGAACTAATTCTTTAGTACTTCAGTACACTGAAATGCTATTTTTGGTACCCTAGGACTCTTATTTAAATTTTGAAAGAAGGTCATACAAGATACTGATTTTCTCTGCTTACAAATTATATAAATGTATAAATCCTAGCAATATGAATATTTATCATAAGATTTAAAATGTAGGATCCAACTGCTTCATTTTTCTTGAACAGTCATAGGCACGCTTCTTGCATTGTCCTTGCATTGCATAGATTGTACAAATTGAGGCTGTTGGGCATAACAGTTGGCAGCCGTGACATAAAGGCTCATTACCACCTGATTGATGTTTTGTTCTTTCTTTCCCCATGTCCCTGCTATAAAAAGTCACATTGACATTTACTGCCTTTCCATATATGTACCTATGAAAAAGTTTAGGAAGGTAGTTAGACAACTTAAGCCATCTTTGATCCTCTTCCTCAATCCTCTTTAATCCATCATGAAATTCTCTTTTCTTCCTCCTAAATATCTTGCAAGCTGTCCATCTCTGTTTCCTTGTTCACCGCCCTAATTTATTCTGTCATTATCTTTGCTTGCACTTCTGTAATATTTCTTGAGTGGTCTACATTTATTCTTCCCTCCTTCATCTCACTGCTGTGGGGGTGATCTTTTAAAAATACAACTCTAGTCTTAATTTTGAGTTCCTGATCTAAACTTCTGATATCTTACTGCCCTTAGAATTCAACCTCAAATCTTCAATCATGGTAGGTACTTATAGTAGTTATTAACTGATTGAATTTAACTTTTATTAATATAGATACATATTTGGGACAAGATCTATAACTTAAACTATGAGGGTTTATATTTCAACATGATTTTGAAAAGATAACGAAATTTAGTTATGTTCTGACTTGCTTTGAAAAGTATTGGAAATGACTTCTAAAATATGGAATGAAAGCATGTAGAGAGAGTTAGCTGGCTTAGAAAAGATGGTTGCACTGAAGTCAGGAACTTTGTTTTGTGGTACAGGTCAGATATTTGAGTCTTAAATAGGAACCCAGAAAATCTATTTAACTGTAAGCAATTGTGAAATTATTCTGCTATAAGAACTTACTTTCTGTATAAGGAAATTCCCTACTGTTGTAAAATGTATACAGTCTGTTATAAATGCTCTGCTGTATTAGTGAAACGTCAGAGCTGCCAGCCTTCGCTTATGTCATTGCTTAAGCAATGACATAAGCATATGCTTATGACCAGGACATTTTCAGTGTTGATTCAAACTTAGTAATTGTGTATTTTCGAAAGTTAGCTGTGAAAGATATTAGCAAGCACATTTAGGAAATCCCCTATTGGCATAAAATATATACAGTGTGTCCATTAGAAATGTTCCGGTATACCTGAGAGATGGTAGTCATAGTCACCAGCCTTGCTTCATGACCTGGATATTTCCAAGGTTGATTCAAACTTAGTAATTGGATATTTTTGGAAGTTAGCTATCAAAGATACCAACAAGCACATTAATTACCCTAGTTTTCCTACTTTAATCATGAGGCAGTATAAAAGTCCAGTAGTTTTGGCTTTATTCCTTTGGAGGCAGATAATGGGCTACTTAGAAATAGGTTCTTATATGGTTAACAACTGAATTGGAGAGGCAGATGGGGAGCTAAGTAGGTGAATTAGACTTCAAGAAATCTTTCACTGATACGTAATAGTAACTAAAAACTCTGCGTGTGTGTGTGTGTGTAAAGTTAAATGGGACAGCAGACAGTATGTATCTTTCTGATCACAATTTGTATTGTTTCCTAATTTATTTTGTCTTTTTTTCTGTGTTTTTAAAAACTGAGTCTGAGAATTATGGCATACTGACAGGCCAGAGAGAAAGAAGGGATGTGGGGATGTACTCCAGGCCTTTCAGTAAATTGTAGTACTTCACTGAACAAAGCTGGTATTTTGGGGTAAATGATGAGAATTCTTAGCTAAGTGGTTTCCACTTGCAAAATGTCCTCACTCTTATTCGACTTTTTCTTCTTTTTTACCTTTCTGACTTGAAAATAAAGTTGGAGTACCTTTTTTTTTTTTTAAGAGACAGAGTCTCACTTTATCACCCTCGGTAGAGTGCTGTAGTGTCACAGCTCACAGCAACCTCCAGCTCTTGGACTTAGGCGATTTTCTTGCCTCAGCCTCCTGATTAGCTGAGACTACGGGTGTCCACCACAACACCTGGCTATTTTTTTTGTTGTTGCAGTTTGGCCGGAGCTAGGTTCAAACCTGCCACCCTCAGTATACGGGGCCGGTGCCCTACTCACTGAGCCACAGGCGCCGCCCCAAAGTTGAAGTACATTTTGAAGTCAAAACTTCTGACCCATTTCTTCAGGGTTCAAAGAAAAGAGCTAAATCATTAGGAGGCTTTTAGGAAAACAATGGAAATATGTAATTTCAAAAATTCATGTTCCACATACTTATTTTAATTTCAGATTAATATGAAGGTACAAATAATTAGGTTAGATTGTTTG